AGAGAGAGAGAGAGAGAGAGAGAGAGAGAGAGAGATTACCCGACAAAGTGTGTATAAATATTGAATATAACCACTAATTTGACAACAATTGGGTCCCAATTGAGCCGTTGTTCGACAAGATTTAAAAGTATTTCCATTTTAGACATTTTGTATAATAAATTATAAACAATGCTTACATTTATTCACATTATAATAACGATATTGAAATTAAAATACTATTTATAATACAAAATAATATGATTAATATAGTTAAGTATTTAAATCAGATAAATGATAAAAATAGGTATTTGAAAAACAATATCAATACTCTTATTACAGCTCAAAGTATATCTGAAAAATGATTTAAATAATTGATCAATTGATGAAAATGAGAATTATATAATTTATTTTACATATTTAGTTATAAAAATAAATACAAGTAACTATTGTCAATAATTAAAACAAATTACATGCAAAACACGTGATAAACAATTTGATTATATTGTTAAAAATTTGAATACAGATTAATAATCTGAGATTATAATTAAATATTAAATTTAAGTAAATCTGTTAGAGAAGTAACACTTAATTTACATATATTTCTTATCACTAGTTATGCATAGATTAGGTTTAAGATATCTCTTTAGTAAAGGGTTTGTAAAATTACTTACAATTAAAACAAATTATAAATTACTTAATTGTTTAATTCAACAGCCGATCGGTTTGGACAGTACTTCCTGTCATTGGACTCACATTAAAGTACAATAGGTATAAACCAAATGCCAGTCAATGGCCAGACATTGAACCGAAACAGTGGTTGAGACCAACATTGGCTCACATGTTGTCAAAGAGTTCTTCAAGCGGTTCCGATTCAGACGAACAATATATAGAGCCGTTCAGTGAGAAATGGTTTCAACCGTTTGTATCTATATATCCATCGTTTATGGCATCGGATCCTAAATTAGATCTCAAAGCAGATCCCAATGTAGACAAAGGAGTGCCATATCTGTTGGGATCGGGTATTATATGGGATGAGAGGGGATATGTGTTGACACATCCCAGTGTTGTCAACAGATTCAATCGATTTCTCGTACGTCTGGGCGATGGCCAGGAAGTGATGGCCCGTTTCTGGTACACCAACGACGCCATCGAGATATCTGTCATCAAATTGGACGGCAATCGCAACGACTGGCCGATGATATCAACGGGCGATTCAAAGGCGCTGGACTTTGGCGATCGAGTGCTGGTAGTGGGCAACCCACGGCCCGGTATACGTAATCATCTGACCCACGGCTGTGTCACTCATACGCGGAGGAAGGGTTCCGAGATTGAAGGCATTCATACGAAAGGCATTGTAATGAAATCCATTAGTTATATCCAACACATGGCGGATGTGATGGCACAGGACGTGGGCAGCGCTCTGGTCGATGCCGAGGGCGATGTGATTGGACTAAACGTCAAGCAATTCGCTCTGAATGTGAACGTGGCCATTCCTATTCACATGGTTGAAAGTATACTGCTTTATCATTGTAATTCATGTTTTAAGTTTGTGTTTTAAACCACTTTCTTTTATTATTAGCCTTTTTCAAGAAGTTTACGAGCGTTGAAAGTGGGCCAACACTGGGCGCCGAACTCTATTGGCTAACCCCTGAACTGAGACAGTGGTTGAAACAGTATCGACAGGTGCCCGACGTTAATGGTGTCCTTATCTATAACTTCTTGGATAATAATAATTATCATTGGTTTGTGTGATGAAAATGTTTTACCGTTTTTTGCAATGTTTTTTATGTTTAATTTCAGGACTAATACCGGTGTCCGGAAGTATGACGTGATTACTGCCATCAATGGATCAGATGTGCGATCGCTGGACGACTTGTATCGGGCCGTCGATGAGCTCATGATATCGGGTGTAATGAATGTCGTGGTAAACGCTGATGGAGTGGTCAGACGGCTAGTACTTCAGCCGACGGTCGGCCCACAGATCGCGCCCTCTGTTTGTGTTTAATGTGTTTGTCTTTCTATGAAATTATTTTATATTTTATTGTTTACTATTTATTGATTGCTTTAAACGCAATGATTATATTGTATATTAATATTCATTGAGTTGTTAATGAATGTCAGTTGTTAATAAATATTGTCTGACGTTTTTCTGTTAGTAATACAATATATAATTAATTAAATTAACTTTAATTTGTAGTTAATTTGAGCAAATATTTTTGTAAAATAATATAATATTAATTTATAAGAAACTCTAAATATGTTGCAATATAATACTCTATCAAATTTCTAAACTTGTGATTTTATAATAAATAATTTTATTGTCAATTATGTTATATTTTTATGTTAAACAAAATAATAAACTTCAATATTTAATACATTACAGTATTTTAATTATGAAATTATATTAATTTTAAACAAATGTATTCATTAACTATTAGACTAATTATTGCATTAATTATGCGTAAGAAATGTTTTTAATAATTAGATGAATGTTTGCATTAAAATGAATATCAATTCCAGCGTTAAGTCTATGGACTGATGGCTATAACGGAAGTCACGCGAGAATTCATTTCTATGAGAATATAACGACTGCCGGCTGTGGAGTCGGGAGGAAAGGGAGGCTTAGGGACAACACGTGCTTTACTTACCATCCAAATAGTGATACAATGTTTGCCAGCATTCAAAACGGGCGGGTAGTCCAGACCGGAGAGATGCCGTGGACTGTGTATATCACAAATAATCTTGGCGGGTTTGATATATTTACTATTACAT